CCAACTGACCTAATGGCTTGGACGTTTACTTCTAGCTTGGCAGTTGCTTCTCCAGAGCCAGTCCCTTTGAAAAGGCCTCTGGTCCTCGGACGACCCGCCTTAAGAAGATGGCTCATAAGAGGGCTTTTGATGCCAGCTTCCACTCCTCACTTCCAAAAGGCTCCATCAGGTACCCGAAATATTTTGATTTGAAGTTACTTTCCTTTTTGCGACTATACCTTCTTAAATGAACACTTTTTATTTGCCCCTATTATGTAGGACCCTGCGGTTGCTAACGTTCTCAGTACATGGCTACTGGCCATGCTGCCTCCACCAGGCCGGACTCAGACTTGGATGGACACCTTCCTTTGTCTGCAAGACTTGTGAAGATGCGCACCCTTGTATAGGCATTATAAGATGACGATGATGATGAGGCTGAGTCCTCCGATCATTTTTGTGACTTATCCCACGCATGGTCGTCACCGTCCTACTGTAACTGAGGAGGAGCGCTATCTTGGTGACGAGGTTATCGGGGCTCACCGTTTTGATGTTGAGATTGCTTGAAGGGACTGATGCCACAGAAATTAATGCCACAGGCCATGCTCTAGAACGCAATGTAGAGATAAGGTGCGCCTCTGGGAATGGTGTAGAGGTGGATGCTGCTAGAAATCTCAGAGACTCGCTCTGGCATTTATGGTGATTCTAATCCTCCGGCCTTCCTTCCCTTCTCAGGGATGACTGCTACTGTTCAGGCTTCATCAGACATTGAGATCGATCAGGTGCTGCCTGTACGGCCAAGTGACTTTGTTGAAGCAGGCAGTCCTTCAGTTGCTCCGGCTTTGCCTAATGATTCTCCCTCTGGTAATCTTTCTTTGAAGTTTGTCATGTACTTCTATCTGTGAGAAATCGTTACTCAATGGCTTTACTGTTCCCTACCCTAATAAGATTTCTTTATATTTCTTCAGTGTTAGCTACTACCGGGGGTCCTGACCTTCACTTGCCATCGGACTAAGCTGCTACCGGGGTCCTGCCTTCACCTGCCTCATACTCGTTCCGACTCTCTTTGTGACTCCTCATGGTTCTCCTTCTCAAGGGAGGACACCTGCCTTTGACGACTGCTTAGAGGTTCTTCATCGCAAGTGCCTTCAAATATTTTGGATTTGAATCTCAGTGATTCCACTTGATAGTGATGCTTTTGGTCTTTCCCTTATCGCTCCGCATTCTCGTCTAGGCTCGGGACCCTCTTGCTGGAAGTACCCCTCCGGACGTATTCCGCTATAGTTAATACATATATATTTTTTAACCTATAATGAAATATCAAAGTAAAAATGAGTGTGAGAGAGATTTATGTGAAATTTATTACAAATTAGTAGTTATATTTATGAAAAATATATGTAAAATTAGTTTGTATTATGTATATGAAATATATTATGCAACTTAGTGTTATATATTATGAAAATATTTGATAATTGTTTTAAAATATTCTTCAATAAGCTAGCAAATTGAAAACGCTCCAAACTGCCCAAACCTTGATTTGATTATTTGCCAATCTGCCATTCACGGTTTGAGTTATAATTTTACTCTCAAACCAACTGAACTGTATCGTGGACACTCCTAGTAGAAAGGGAGGATTTCATAGATGGATTATAAATTTGAAATTAATATCAAATTAACTAGCAATTAGCAAGTGAATCGGTGCAAATTAAACAATTTTTGCTAATTAAACAATATTTTGCATAAACTTACTCTCCATTCTATTCATGTAATGAAAGATTTTCATTTCTTATCTAATGGTTATGAAAAATGAATGTAAAATTATAGTTATTTTAACAATAATATTTGGTCTACACAAAATCCTTAGCCCGACTATGCCCAAATTACGTGGCACCAACAAAAGCAAAAAAAGACCCACGTATTTCTTTGCTCTGTTTGTCTACGCCAACAGTCCTCTCTCCCTCTTTTCTCTCTTTCTCTTAAACAAACAATAATCAATCACTTTTTCTCTCTCCTCTCTCAGATACTTATAAACCAAGAATTTACTTATAAAAAAAATTGATGGACAAATTATGGATTCATAAGTTTGGATTTATAGTATTTTTGTTCCTATAATATATAATAAAATTTTCAAAAATGTTAGAGATCTATAGTTTGGTATAATGATATAATAAGAGTTGGACCTTTTATCATTAGATGTGTAATAAATTAAAAGTTGACACCTATTATACCACATCATTGCCGGTCAGAGTTTGGACGGCAATGTTTATTTTTAATTTCCTCTTTCAAACAGTGTTCACTATCAAAATGGTCTTGTTCAGGTGAGTAAAAAATCACCTCAGGGGAGTGCCCTCAATACTTCTTCTATACAGCTTGTCCTGATCAAGAAAGTACCGCCTCGCTCTCCTCTTGAGGTGTGCAATGTCCCTCGGGCTCTCAGGTAGTGTTCCCTCTTTGAGATAGTCAATGTAGACTTGCCTCCAGTCAGGGGTATCAATTTCAAAGCAACTCTCATCCTCCCGGATGTATGACTGACACTTGGGGCATTCCTTCTGTAATTGATTCGAGTCCTTCTCCATCTCGGGCCAATAATAACCTTGTCTTTGGATTCTTCTATCTCCTTCAGCTTCTGGCAAAGTATCATTTCTCCATTATTGGATAGCTCTTGAGTTTGCTTTAGTTCTACAGCTTGTGCATTCAAGTTACCCGGAGACCTTTGCTTCATTTGCTTGCCAGTGTCCACTCATTCAGACTGCTCTTCTCGAGTCTTTTGCCACTATCTTATATAGCTTGGACAGGCAACGGTTGTGTGACCTTAATGGGAAAGTAGTCGAGACGGCGTATCAGGGGATCTCTGACATGGAGCGTCACCAAGTGGATTTATCATGGCTTCGGAAGCCCCTGGATGTAGCTTCAAACGCCAGTCATCGGGAGGAAATTTTGTCTGTGCTTGCCTCTTATTGGACCTCTATAGATGAGACAAAGGCAACTCTTCGTGAACTTGAGTCAGGCTATGCTCGGGCCTTGGAGACTTTAGAGGCACACTTTGTTGTTTGTCCTCCGGATGTAAATGTGATGGGCAGCTTCTTCGAGGGTGTTTTTAAGAGAGATTGAGCTTTTTTTTTTTTTTTTTTATTACTTTCTTGCCCCTTTCGATAAAAATGTTTTATCTAGGACAATGCAATGAAATGACAAAATCTTTGCTGTTTGGATAATTCGCATTGTTTTCTCATTCTACTTGATAAAATATTTATTTCGAATGATACAATGGAAAGAACAATCATATGCACATGTTTATAAAAGCTGAAATATTCTCATTAATTCTTCAATTTTCTTGAAAAAAGTGTAATAAATTCACTGCAAGTGATGGGATAAAACATACATCATAAAGAAAACCAGCTTCTTCATAACGTAAGGGAAATACAACTTTTAGACAAAGTAGGAAAATGAAAATGAATTTCAACATAGATGAGTCTAACTACGGGTAGTAATGCTTGATAAACTTTGCATTGAGCGGGCCAGTTCGGAAGCCATCTTCAACCCTTACAAGCTTGTAATACCCGCTTGCTTGAACCACCCTATAGGGCCCTTCCCATTTTGGAGAAAACTTGGGCAAGGGTTGTCCTCGCATGATTAGGTCTACAATCTTCCATACTAGATCACCTTCTTCAACCTTTCTTGGCACCATAGTCTGATTATAGGCTCGAACGATGGACTCATGATACCTTTCCATGACTTTTGCAGCTCTGTCATGCTTTTCCTCTGATGCTTCCAATCTGGTGGTTCGAGGCTCCAGTACCATCCCCGAGGCGAGAGCCATTCGAGCAGATGGTGTTTCGAACTCTATAGGTAACACTGCCTCAGACCCATACACAAGGAAGTAAGGAGTTGCTTGAGTTGGCTTTCTCTTTGAAGTGCGATACGCCCATAGGGCTACTATCAACAGTTCGGACCAAGTCCCCCCAAACTCATCCATCATCTTGCTCAGAATCCTTATCAGTGTCTTGTTTGTGGCCTCCGCTTGCCCATTCTCTTTTGGATAGTAGGGTGTGGATTTGTGATGCTTCACTTGGTAAGTCTCTAGGAGTCTTTTCACATATTTATTTATGAAGGGTGTTCCGTTGTCCGAGAGGATGGTGTTTGGCACTCTGAACCGGCAAATGATACTTTCCTTGATGAAGTTCGAGACTGCGAGACCCGTAGCTTTCTTTAGAGGGATTGTTTCGACCCACTTTGTGCTTAATTCTGTAGCTGCGAGAACCCACTTGTACCCCTTAGAAGGTGTGGAAATGGGCCTTATTAGATCAAAAGCCCAAGTATGGAACGGCCATGGCGTTCGGATGCTATGCAGGTCTACGGCTGGAGCATGGATCAAATTTTCGTGTTTCTGACAAGTCTGGCACCTCTTCACGTGATGGGACGCATCTGACTCCATGGTTGGCCAGTAATACCCAAGGTGTATAAGTTGCTCGAACAGCCAAGCCCCTCCTTGATGCTCAACCTTGTTCTTCCGAGGACTAGATCCGACTCCTCCTTGGAGAGACACCTCAGGGAAGTCCCTCAATATTTCTTCTGTAAAGCTTGTCCTGATCAAGAAAATACCGCCTCGCTCTCCTCTTAAGGTGTGCAATGTCCCTCGGGCTCTCAGGTAGTGTTCCCTCTCTAAGATAGTCAATGTAGAGTTGTCTCTAGTCAGGGATATCAATTTCAAAGCAACTCTCATCCTCCCGGATGTATGACTGACACTTGGGGCATTCTTTCTGTAATTGATTCAAGGCGTTCTCCATCTCGGGCCAATAATAGCCTTGTCTTTGGATCCTTCTGTACAGACTGATATCCCCATCCCTGCAAGACTTTTCATAGATCTGTTGTAGTCGGAAGCTTGCTTCTTGTTGGCCAACACACCGTGCTAGGAATCCGGTACCTCCTCGGAAGTAAAGTTCACCTTGAATAATTATGAATTGGGTAAGCTTGGCCATAGTCAATTTTCCAACTTTGCTTCTGAGTTGTTCGAGGACTTCTCGTCTCTAGTCCTCCGGAAGGCCTTTGTCTTCGGGTATTATCGAAGGCTCTGTTCTCTTCTTGATCATAATTGTCGCCTCCTCCTCTGGAATATCAACTCTTGCCCCTAATGTTGCGAGGGCATCTGAAAACTTATTGTCGGAGCGAGGCATATGCTCTATTTCGACCTTCTGAAATTTGTCAAGAAGCCTTTGGACTGTTGTTCGATATGTGGCCAAGGCAGGCTTTTTCAAGACAAACTGTCCTGAAACTTGCTTCACTATCAGCTTTGAGTCCTCCTGAATTTGAATCCTCTTGATACTGTGCTTCTCAACTGCTATCAAGCCTAAAATAAGAGCCTCATACTCGGCTTCATTATTCGAACAATGGAAATCCAGTTTGTAAAACAAATATAACTTTTCCCCACTTTTGCTTATAAGGACTATCACGGTTCCTCCTTTACCTCCGGCTGCTGCTTCGTCAAAGCTCAATGTCTTGAAGCTTTCCTCGGAAGCCATAGCTGCATGCACCTCTCCTCTTAATTCTTCATTCACTGGTTCATAGTCACCACTTGGAAATTGGGCAAGGAGATCGGCTAAGGCTTGGCTTTTGATTGCCTTGGGAGCTACACATATGATCTCAAATTCACCCGTTGCTAACAACCACCTTGCTACCTTCCCGATTAGAGCAGGGTTGCTGAGGAGGTATCGGATTGGATCACTTCTAGTAACAATCTGAATCTGATGTGCTAAGAAGTAATGTCTGAGCTTTTGGGCAGTGAATACCAAAGGTAAGCAATGTCTCTCTATCGGAGTATATCGGACTTCTGCTCCTCGAATCTTCCGGCTGCTGTAATACACCGGGCATTCTGCTCCGTCTACATCTTGGACCAATAATGCCCCTATGGACTTGGGGATTGAGGTTAGGTACAACATTAGAGGGACCCCGGGCTGTGGGGCTATCATGGTCTGAGGCGAGGTTAAGGCTGCCTTGATTCTCTCGAAGGCCTTTTGGTGCTCTTGGTTCCACTCGAACTTGGCATCTCCTTTTAATAACAAGCCAAAAGGGACAGAGATCTCTGCAAGTGCTGGGATAAATCTCTAAATATAAGACACCTTCCCGAGGAACTTCTTTAACTCCTTTTGAGAATATAGGGGAGGCATTGCTTTGATAGACTTGACCTTATCTTCATCTGCCTCGATACCATGCATATGTACAAGAAACCCGAGGAACTTCTCGACCGTCACCCCGAAAGCACAATTGAGAGGATTCATCCTCATTTTGAATTTCTGGCACCTCTTGAATACTTTCTCAAGGTCGCGGAGATGGTCTTCTTCTTTCTTGGATTTCACCACTAGATCATCAACATAATCTTCCACCTCATAATGGATCATGTCATGAAAGATTGCAGTCAAAGCCCTTTAGTAAGTTGCTCCGGTATTCTTGAGTCCGAAAGGCATGACTGTATAGAAGAAGTTTCCGAGAGGTGTTCTAAAAGCAGCCTTTTCTGCGTCCTCTTCAGCCATCTTAATCTGATTGTATCCGCTGAATCCATCCATGAATGAGAACATCTGGTGTCCCGTGGTGGCATCCACAAGGGTATCGATGTGAGGTAGAGAGAATTCATCCTTCAGGCAAGATTTGTTCAAATCTCGAAAGTCTACACATACTCTAATTTGACCATTCTTCTACTTTACTGGCACTATGTTTGCCAACCACGTGGGGTACTGTATTGGCCGGATGAAACTTGCTTGTTGAAGCTTTTCAATCTCCTCCTTAATCTTCTCTTCGAGATCTGGATGATATTTTCGAGCAGCTTGCTTAATTGGCTTGGAGTTTAGGAACACATCAAGATAATGGGAGACTAGGTCAGGATCTAGTCCGGGCATTTCCTTATATGACCAAGCAAACACATCTGAATACCGGCTTATCAACTTTAACAACTGTTCCCGCTTCTCTGGGCTAAGGCTCGAACTTATGAATATCGGCCTTGGAGCATCTTATCCATCACTTAGATCTATTTCAATAAGTTGTTCGGACTGAGGCTTCGCCCCATCTTGCATGCATTCTGGAGCCACTTCAGGCTTTATCATTATGTCAATGTCAGGAGGCTCTTCTTTTGACTCGGAGTCGGTGACTGAAGAAACCGACTCCCCGTACCTTCATAAATAGTACACCATCTTACCTCATTCTCGGACTTTCATTACCTTCCGAGGAATAGGCGGACTTTTTGGTCGAGACATTGTCCGTTTACTTGATTCTGTCCTTGGCTCCTTGTTATCTTTGATATCCTTCCACCGAGGAATTGTTACCCCCTAAGGCTTAGAGGTGGTGGGAATTTCTTTCGACAGCCAGTTCGGTGAAGTAGATGGATCAGAATAATGAGCTTCATGGATCTCAAAAGGCCTTTCTGTAACTTGAATTGTCATCGTCTTCTTTCCCCATTTAGCCTTAACACACTGATGATAACTTGATGGTACTGCCCCATATCTATGTATCCAAGTCCTCCCTAGAATGATGTGATAATTTGCCTCGGAGTCGATAATATGGACCTTGGTGGCTGAGCGAATCTCTCCGACGGCTAAATCAACTGTTACACATCCTATAGTAACTCTCCTTTCTCCACCGAAGCCAGTGATGACTATCGGCTGTTTCACAATGCGTTCTTCAGAGATTCCGGCCTTTTCTAGAATAACGCGAGTCATAATGTTGATAGAGGCTCCACTATCTAGAAAGGGCCTTTTAAACTCAACCCGTTAATAAAAACAGTCACATAAAGCAGGCGATTGTGAGAAAAAGGATACTTCCGATCAGCCTCGGAGAAAGTAATGGCATTAGATTGCTCTTTTGCCTTTCTCAGGATAGATCCCTCAGTCGACATGCATTTTTCATGGTGTGCCTCGGCTATATTAATGATGGACTTGGTGATTTCTGTTCTTGCCTCCCTGAAAAGTCCAAGCTGGTCGAAGAATTGCTTGAACTTTACATAGTCTTGCAGGGTTTTGGCATAGTGATCCAGATCTTTTTCCACTCTTGGAGGCTCGTAGTTAACCATCTCCTCGATCTCTTCAAAATAAGATGCCACATAAACATGGTGTCCTCCTCTTCCATAGTGCTCTTCTCTTCCTTTTGGATCAAAGGGATCTTCGACATGAGTCATAAAGGTTATGCCCTCTGGATCGAGAGCACTTCCATAGTAAACTTGCTCACCCTCGGGCTCAAGGATGTCATCCAGATAACAATCATCGTCATCGAGATTGGCAATAGGCTCAATTATCAGGCCTTCATAAGCTATCATAGCAACATTCTTGCCCTTGTTTCGGTGCTGAGGATACGGTTGTTCTCGGATATCTTGAGTCCCTTGCTTTTTGAACCTCAATTCGTCTGCCTCGACTTTATCTCTGAAGATTTTCCTGAGAGTCCAACACTTCTCTGTTGGATGTTTCAATGTACGATGGTAGACACAAAATTCAAGGCTCTCACGGTCCTTTTTTTATGGCATTTCTTCGACATAAGGCAATTTTAGCTCTCCGTCGGCCACCCATTCCTTAACTAGAGCTTTTACTTCCTCGATTCCACATGGATAAGAAACATTCCCCTTTTCACCATTATATTGCTTTCTCTTCTGGCCTCTATGACCTCCTCCTTGTGACTTTCGGGTATCTGGGACAGAGGCAGCAGCAACAATAGGTCCACGAGACGATTTGAAGCTAGTCTTGTAACTGGCCTTAAATCCGGACTCCTGAGCCTGAGGAATGTTAATGTTCCAAGCTGCTTCTATTAATGCCGAGAAGGTGAGTAGCTTGTGATTAACTAGAAACATTTTGTACCTGCTCAATGCCCCTTCTAGACTGATTTGAACCAGATAACTCTCCTCCACTGCTTCATGGCAATCCACGGCCTTGTCCTGAAACCTTTTGACATAGTCAAGGATGTCTTCACTTTCCTGCTGCTTTTCTTTACACAATGTAAGTGTGGTCACTTTCTCCGCCACTTGAAAGAACTTAGAGTGGAATTTGTTAACCATTTCCTCCCAACTTCGGACAGAGTTTGGGGCCAAATTAACATACCAACTATATGCTCGGTCGGTGAGGGACTTGAAGAATTCTCTCAGCCAGAGGACGTGGTTTGAACCATGAATACCCAAAGTCTCGATGAATCGCATAACATGTTATCGAGCATTTCCTTGTTTGCCATTGAATTTAATGAACTTCGGCACTGTATACCCCTCGGGGTATGGATAGCTCAGCACCTCAATAAGGTAAGGCGGCTTGACGTCCGGATCAGGCAAATAGGGTAAAGTCCTCTTGCCTCGTTCGAGATCGAACATGGCTTGCATATCGGCGAGAGTGAGAAACTGTTGAGGGAGAGAGTTTGATGGTGGTATTCCCGGAACTTGCCTTATGGACCCGAAGACTGAGCTAGGGGCGACTTGGCCATTCTGGTGCTGCGGATTCATCATTGGTGAGGACATTTGACAATACTGGCCATCAGCGCCTATAGACAAGCCAGTTGGTAATGGGACATTGAATTGAGGCCCGTAAAATCCACCGCACGGCGCTGCTATACCGAGTTGTGCTTGCAAATTTGTTGTCGACACCAAGGGAGGCCCGCTTGGTGCTTGAGTAACATTTACTGGTGGCGTAACAAGATTAGGTACGGGCAGAGCTCCCTTTTGCGCCATCATGCCCCTTACATTTGCCTGGACACCAACAGTCGCCGGAGCGCCATTCATTACACCAGAACCTCCCCAGTCACCATTGGATCTTGGCTTGGCACGCCATGGAGCCCGGGCGTAGGCAAACTGCAGCCGCCTACTGTGGTTTGAGCATGTGTTACCGTGGTCGTGTTGCCATGAGCCATAGGCTGATTGGGGCCTACTTTTCCTTGGATTTGATTTTGCGCACCGGCGGAAATAACTCCACCACCAGTTTGATTTCCATTTGGCGCCGGTGCAAAATTAGAACTCATCGCTAACATGATGTAAGTGAGATTCTGAAGAGTGGCAAGAATCTCCTGCTGAGTATTTTGAAGTCTTTGAATGGCTTCAAGCAAAAGTGGTTGATCTGGAGCCATGGTCCTGTCATCACCACCATTAGAGGATCCTTGCTGGTGAACTTCATCTTTTCCCGCCATCCTTGTTGGAGTTGTGTGGATTCCAGATCTCGTTGAGACCATTAACCAATCTACCTCCCCAGCAGAGTCGCCAAATGTATGAGAGGGTTCAAAAAAGTTGTTGGAAAATTTGAAGATCTTCGAAGATCTTTGAAGAACAACTTCAAATTCTCTAGAAGATGATGAGAGGCTTAGATTCTTCAATAGTCTCAACTTAAGAACACAAGAGTAAAGGAGATGATGGAGATAAGAGATTAGGTGAAGAAGAAGGCAAAGTAATTAGAGAGAGAATAATGACAAGACTCTTTCATGGATCTCCCACTTTCACTCTCAAGGTTGATAATGGAGAAGGGAAATTAGTTCTTTCCCAAGAGTTAACTCTCCAAAATCCATCCCTTGTAAAGCTATGGGTGGGTGCTATTTATAGGCACCTCATGATGTAGGATGGAGCCCATGTGCAAGGCACATGGGGAATATTCTCTCTAACCACCTTGTCCGAGGAGGTGACCTCTCCGAGGAGGTGACTTCTCCGAGGATGAGAAAACCCCGAAGAGGAGATCAATCCCTCGGCGAACCCTTCTTCTTAGCCACACCTAACCAATGATCCCCAATCATCCCAAAGGGTCAGGGGTAGTCCCAGAGGACGTCCTGCCGCAAAATATTGCCGAGTCTCATGGACCCCCCGGGGTCGTGCCACCTCGACTCGGGTATATGCTAGTTTAACTAAAGAGTGAATTTATCTCCACTCACCGTCCTCGGGATCGGGTCCTTTGTTCGAACTCCATTACGCCCATGGTTCTGGTGCGTAAATCTCGGAAAACTCCGAGCCTGCAAGTGTTCTAGGACTCATTAACGGAGCGGCTTCTAGATTGCATTTGAATCCGTTCGAAGCCAAGTGCTTCGGATCTCTAGGTTCGTGGATCCAAACCCTTTCAAGTTGGAGCTCGAGTAAGTCTCTACGTTCGTAGATCCAAACCCTTTCGAGGCTTAGAGCGATTCGGCCCGTTTGATGGGGATTAATCCAGGCCCACCAATCTTGGACTTGCCATAAATTCGGGCCCACTAATCTTGGGCAATTGGGCCTAATTAATTTAGCGAACTCAAATTAGCTCCTCTTACATAGGGTTCAAAAAAGTTGTTGGAAAATTCGAAGATCTTAGAAGATCCTTGAAGAACAACTTCGAATTCTCTAGAAGATGATGAGAGGCTTAGATTCTTCAATAGTCTCAACTTAAGAATAGAAGAGTAAAGGAGATGATGGAGATAAGAGATTGGGTGAAGAAGAAAGCTAAGTAATTAGAGAGAGAATAATGACAAGGCTCTCCCATGGATCTCTCACTTTCACTCTCAATGTTGATAATGGAGAAGGAAAATTAGTTCTTTTCCAAGAGTTAACTCTCCAAAATCCATCCCTTGTAAAGCTATGGATGGGTGCTATTTATAGGCACCTCATGATGTAGGATGGAGCCCATATGCAAGGCACATGGGGAATATTCTCTCTAACCACCTTGTCCGAGGAGGTGACTTCTCCGAGGATGAGGAAAACCCCGAAGAGGAGATCAACCTCTCGGTGAACCCTTCTTCTTAGCCACACCTAACCAATGATCCCCAATCATCCCAAGGGGCCGAGGTAGTCCTAGAGGACTCCCGCCACTAAATACTGCCGAGTCTCATGGACCCCCCAGGGTCGTGTCACCTCAACTCGGGTATAGGCTAGTTTAACCGAAGAGTGAATTTATCTCCACTCACCGTCCTCGGGATCGGGTTCTTTGTTCGAACCCCATTACGCCCATGGTTCTGTTGTGTAGATCCCGAAAAGCTCCGAGCCCGTAAGTGTTCTAGGACTCATTAACGGAGCGGCTTCTAGATTGCATTTGAATCCGTTCGAAGCCAAGTGCTTCGGATCTCTAGGTTCATGGATCCGAACCCTTTCAAGTCGGAGCCCGAGTAAGTCTCTAAGTTCGTGGATCCAAACCCTTTCGAGGCATAGAGCGATTTGGCCCATTTGATAGGGATTAATCCGGGTCCACCAATCTTGGACTTGCGATAAATTCGGGCTCACTAATCTTGGACTATTGGGCCTAATTAATTTAGCGGACTCAAATTAGCTTCTCTTACACGTCTTATGTAAACTTTTTTTCAAAATTTTTTTTTTTATTTTTTTTTTTAAAGATATGTAAGATTATTCTTGTATGCATGGGATCCACACAAACTATTATATTAATTTCTAGAAAGTACTTTGATTTGCATGTACAGCTAGAAAAAACCAAAGATGTACCTCCTCCAACTATTATGAACATTGTTTTTTGATATGAAAAAGCACAACATACACTTGGAAACCAAAACCAAAATATGTCCTCACATTATCAACATTATTTACCCAATTATCAATGTTCGTCAATAACAAAATGGTTTGGGGAATTTGAGGCATGCTTATGATTTATCTCTATGTTTGGCATATATTGTCAAAGTCATTGTTGAAAAGGTGCTTCAAACTTGGAAGAGTGTTGAAAGGATAAGTAAAAATAAATAAATTTGAGATGGTTGCATGATTCTTTATTGTAACTTGAACATGAATTTCTTGGATACAACATCATCTATTTTTATTTTGAATGGAGGTTTGGGAAACCCTTGACCTTGTTCATGACCTGGCAGTGCATTGTACAAAACTAGGGCAGTCAAAATCAGTGGGTGTGTTTGGTAACGTTTACGTTTTCAATTTATATTTATAAAAATTTTATAAACTGATTTTTGTTTATTTTTTGTTTATTTTTAGAAAAACGTAAACTACAAACGCGTTTGGTAATTGACAAAATGTTTTAAAAAATTTAAAAATATAAAAAAGAGTGAGAAATAACAAGTGGTGGCAAGTGGCGGCGGAAGACGGTGGTGGAAAATGGTGACGGTGGGTGGTGGGTAGCTGGTGGTGGTGGGTAGTGGCGGGTGGTAGTGAGTAGGAGGTGGTGGTGGCGGTGGTGGTGGAGGGTAGTGGTGGCAGGTGGGTGGTAGATGACGGGTGGTGATGGGTGGCGAGTAGGTGGCGGGTGGTCGTTAAACATTTTTTTTTTTACTTTTTTAGATACACCTTATTTAGATGTATCTAAAAAGTAAAAAACTTGTGAAAAAATATTTTAAAAAATTAATAAATACATAAAAATATAAAAAATATACCAAATTCTCGTATTTTTTTTGTATTTTTGATATTTAGTGAATTTTTAAAAGGTTTCTTTCACAAATTTTTTACTTTTTAGGTATATTTATATTAGGTATGTCTGTAATGATTATTTACATCTTGTACAATAATTTTGAGGTTATAGATTCAAGTTTCGAAACAATCACTTTATAAACCATGTCAAAGGTTAGGTGCAGGACCAGCCGTGGCCTAAGGCCAGTGAGGCCTGTGCTTTAACCCCCAAAATAGAGTCCTCAAATTTAGTAAAGTGTTATACGCTTAAACTATTTTTGTTGATTTAGAACCAATTTAAAGGGGCTCAATATATTCTGTTGGGTCTATATTTATTTATAAATATAATTTGGCCCAATTAAAATTAAAATATATACAAAAAGTGTTAGTGGCCCACGGAAAAGGAATCCACCCCCAAAGAAGAGGCCCAACAAGAGAACAATACATACATACACTGAACTGCTGTTGGTGGCCCAGGGAGAAGGAATCCACCCAAAAAAAAAAAAAAAGGCTAGGGACGGGCTAGGGAGCACATTACCTATTTCTAATGTTTTTGAGTTATTGTATTGATTTCTTTCTATATTAATATATGAAAGTAAATTTTAGTTTATAATTTTAATAATTATATATACAAGTAAACTTAAATAAAAAATCTGTTGATACTTATCGTTTTATACATAAATTTTTTTATTAAAAAATATATATATAAAAAGGGTCTCATTTTCATACATACTCACAATAAATATAATTCACGTACTTTATTTTCAGCATACTTGCTCTTGATACGGAATAGTACTTTAAATTTCAAGCATGTTTAATAAATGACTCTTCAAAATTCTCCAAGCCCCAATTGCTTGAACAGACCTTCATGTGTCCCTACCTAAAATAAAAAGAATGAGAATGTTGACACTTGTTGCTTCTTTACCCTTTTTTTCCTTCCTATACATGTATCTTTCCTAATGATCATATGAACAAAGCACTCACTTTTGCAGACTAACAGAAAAATAAGAATAGAATGAAAACAAAAACAGAAAAAACAAAATTGTTTGTGAAGAAGCTAGCCCATGCACCCATGCATGTTGTGTTGTAGCTCTTGTGATGATTGAAGTTTATCATTCAGATCTTGTCTGTCATCAATCCATAGACAGTCACAAGAGCCATTACAAGGGAATGATCTGTTTGGGGTTCCACAACTAAGCTTAATACATCATCTCCCAACACAACACCTGAAGATAATTGCTTTTGTTTCACCTGCCAAAAAAGAAAAGAAAAAAATTTCAAACCATTTACTCTTCCACTTTAATAGCATACTACAAACTATCAAACAACAATTCTTGGAAAAGTTTACTTGCTCTGGTGTTTCTGAACTTTTCATTATTTTTGTTTATGAAAACACATGAAAAAAGAATATAAAAGTTTGGGAAACATACCAAAACAAAACAAAACAAGTTCTGTTTTGCAAATATTTGGACTAACCTCTGCAACAAGTCCACCATGACTGTCTGTAATCTTGAATGCTAATTTTCCAGCCAATCCTATTATTCTGTAGCTAATTTCTTTAGCTTTATCGCGCCCCAAAGTAACGTGACAAGCCATTTCTCTCCCAAGAAAGTTGCTGTTTGTTCTTGCTTGATACCATGGTTTCTCCAACTTGTTCATTTTAGAACCACTCCATTTATAAATATCCCAATGTCCCAAGAAACTTAGTTTCTGCAAGAAAACAACACACAAACAAGATCACACAATTTAGTAAGTGCTAATTACTCGGAATTAGTCTGAATGAAACTCAAGAGACAATAAAAAACACATGAGGCCACTCATTGCTTGCTTGATACCTTTCGTCGGATAGAAAAGAGAACTGTGCCTTGAAGATCCATGAGATAGACTTCATTGCTACTCTTTTTATCATAGTTGTCAATACGATAAACGATTTTACCATTCGAATTGAAAACCGTGCATCCATTTCCATGGAACACAAGTGATTTCATCCATATGGTAAATGTTTCTCTTGTAGAAGTCATGTAAGAAGAACAAGTAGGTGTTTGAGGATAAATCTTAGCCATTGAAAGACTTAAAAAGGGCTAGAATGAGTTGGGTTTGTGGATGGAGACTTATCTGTCCAAGACCTTATATATTTTTGCAAGAAAGACAAGTGCAAGATTTCAAATATTAGGATATTGCAATGTGATTTACATGAACACTAATTTTAAAAAGCATTATAAAAAAATGAAGATAAAGATTTTGCAACCCTTGAATGGTTGTTTCAAAATTGTCTAGGTCGCTTTCTGGCTTCTGTACTTTCATTTCTTTTGTTTCAGTCGACGTGGCATAAGGTGATTGGTCAGCATGTAAGGATGAGGAGGCTGACCTGAAGACACATATTATTAGTCAATGGTGACTTTGGTTTGGTCTCGTTTAAACCATGTATCATGTACATTGTATATATGTAAAGTTTGGGGCGAATTACACATGTAATCTTTGTAGTTTGTCATTTTTTGTCAATTTATTTTTATTGAGTTTTTCATATTGTATCAATGTAATTCAATTGATAATACCTGTTTAAAAAATAAACTGAAATCAATGAGCAAATAATACATTTACTTTCCTTAAAGTGATTAAGGGATCAACATCCAATTTGAAATGATTTAGCCTCTTTTGAATAAATCATTTTGCTCTTAATTTTTTTTTTAATTTCTTAGGTGCCGTTTGGTAACACTTACGTTTTTAGTTTTCTGTTTATATTTACAAAAATTCTAAAAACTCAAATAAAAACTTGTTTGGTAAAATTTTTGATTTATAAATCAGTGGTCTCAGTTTATAAATTTGGCCAAAAAATGAAAACACAAAAAATGTGTTTCCATTTTGAGTTTTCAGTTTTTTTTTTTTTTTACCACCCAATTTACTGTGTAATTTAAAGAGAATTTACTGAGTAATTTACCGGG